TGGAGAAGGGCAAGGGAAGGGGTCACTGTGCAGGGGGGACAGAAGTGTGGGGGTCACCCCTGGGGTCTGCCCAGAAAAAACCTTCCCAGGCCAGAGTGGAGGTGGAATCCCCCCCAAAGCCAGGAAACACCCGCTGAATTCCAGCTGATGGGAGATGAAAAAGGACCGAGAGAGAAAAAACCCAGCAATCCCAGCTTTGGCCATCTCRTAAGGAACTGTTTGTCTGAGCTCATGTTGAACCTTTTCCCAGGATTTTCCAGCYTTTTGAGATTGCCAGGACAAACGTGTGGATTTGGGAGGCTCCTCACTGCCCTGCAGGGCTGGGATTGTTGGGGAGAGCCCAGCCCGTGGTGCTGGGGACTGCAGCCTGTCTCTGCCTCCACAGAGCAAGGAGAATCCTTCCCTGGAAAGGGGAAATCCATAGGATGAGGTGCAGGGAATTTTGGAGCTCACGTTTTAGCTGCTGGAGATGGTGTGAGAATGTAGTGTTTGGGTTGAACTGGGTGATGTTAAGGCTCTTTCCCAATGTAAATGATGGGGTGATTTTAATGATGGCTTTGGGGTGAGGGTTCTGTGAGTCCCAGGGAGCAGAGGGGACTGATCCCACATCCCWGGACACATCCCAGGATCATCTCTGGGGCTGATGGAGCATCTTCAATCCATTCACTCCTAAAACCCTTTCAGTTTGGGATGGTTTACACCACCAAATGCTCTAAATATTAATTGAGATGATTCTGCAGAATCTCTTTGATTAAAACACCATTTTTTCCATGCAAAAAAAAAAAAGGATTGTCAGGATTTTGTTCTGGGCTGTCGCGCTCCAGCTCCGAGTCCCAATGTGGGACCAGGGCCAGCCTCAGCTCAAAGGCTTTTTCACTTTGAAAGAATAGAGGGAAGGAAGAAAGAAGCAGAAAATATATTAAAATGCAAGATTTTATATTAGTTATGTGATCCCCCGGGAGCAACCATAAAATTATGTGGCTTTTTCGTAGCCATTTACTATTCAATATAAAAAGGGGAGTCGCCATGGCAACCACTGCATCATATGACATCTGATACCTTGGCGAAACAGGGAGCTCTTAAATCAACTCCCCAAATTTCATATGAAAGTAAATACATTTTACTGGTGATTTCAAGGCAAGTTTGCATTGTGACAAGGAATGTGGCACCATTTCCTCTGCTCAGCTCCATCCTGCAAACTGGCTGAAGCCCTCCAGCCCTGAAGCCCACATTACTCAGCAGTGTGAGAGATTAAAAGTTAGAGGAGTTTGTTTTCCTAAGTAAAATTAAATGAAAGGAGCAAATGGTGTCATTTTTTTTGACATTTCTTACTGACTGAGGAATGCCAAAAAAATGAAGAGGTTGAGTTCTATAACAGCTGAGGTTCCAGCTGCAAGTGTGTGAGCAGCACAAAGGAGGGAGACAGGAGGATGAAAGGAAAATGAAAATTATGTTTGTGTAAGCTCACACATTTAGCATTGATTTTTTTTTTCCTTGGAAATGTGTGTTTTCCAGGCAGAGAGACTACTGGGATGGTGGTGGTGGGAGATGGAATCCCCTTGGCAAATATTGAGCCAATAATTCCTACATTAGGGATGGATTCTGGTTGGCATTTCTGTTTGATTTGTTGGTTTGTTTTGATTCGCTTTTTAATAGATAAAAAATAGTATTGTTCATTTATATTGACTATTCATGCCTGGGCCATTCCTTTTSTAAGTAAATAGACAAGATCACCAAGTTGCAGAGAGAGCCTGTGTTCCTAAATTTCCTCAGGAAACACTGTTTTCCTCATTTCCCTTCCTAATTTTGTGTTCTTGTCTTTCATCATGTTAAAATTCCCCTCTAACCAACACACCAGGAGCTATTTTCAGCAGCAGGGCAAGGCAAAACACTTTATTTTAGCAGCCAGCTTCTACCAAACTACCTACATTTTATACAAAAATAATTTAAAAATGTGAGTGGCAGCATCTGACACTGAATTAATCTCACCATGACCTTGCAATGAGAAAGGTAARTTCAGGAAAATACAAAGTTATTGTTTTAGCACCACCTTTGATGCTGAGGATTCCTAGGTCATGCTCAGTGCCTGCTCTGCCCCATCAGTTAAAATACTTCTCATTTTTGACACAATTCTTTAAGTTAATCTTTCCACTGAYGTTCGTCATTGGAGTGGAATTTACATTTGTTTTGTGTATTTTTAGCTTTCCAAAGCAGCCTTGAAAACTATTTAGCCTGAATTGTTGGCATTTCACTTTGCAAAGAAGCGGTGTTTTGTGGCTGAAGGTCATTTTTGGGATGGTTTGTAGGGATTTTGGATGCACAGGGATTACAGAGTTCTTGTTCTCCAGCCTGTGAAATGTTGRTTTTATGCAGAGAAGAGTTGCTGACCCCCCAAAAGATGTGGGAAATCCTCTGTGCAGCTGGCGGGGAGCCACACACTCAAATTCCAACAGGAATTACACTGAGACAGGTGGGAAAATATTCCCTGTGGTACAAGGGACAGAAATGYCCAACCTCGTCAGTGCAGTGGCAAAATTAAACCATTTAGGATTTTTTTCATGATGAAACTCTAGGCAGATTTRCAGCCACAACTGAAACATTCAGCATCTGTCAGAAATCCTTTCCTAAATCCTTCYATCAGGCTCCAAGAAGTTCATTTGGAAATTATTTGGACTCTTTGAGTTTGAGGATGTTATTAAAAATGCATTTATCTTTTTAAAAGGGTCATTATATCCCAGTGGATTGTGCTTTGGAGAGGGAACAYAGGCTGTTCATGCAGGGTGTATCAAAACTTGGGGTTCTAATTTTCCCTTTGCAAATCTCAGTTGGAAGTTGATTTCTTCATCCTGAAGCTGAGTTGCTCTGGCTCTGGGAACAAGTCACCCATCCTGGGCAGTGTGAGACACTGAGGAGAGCTCAGCAAACCCCCACTTTTGCTCCAGACAACCATTATTTATCAGCCTGGATTACCCTTAATTACTGAAAATTGAAATGTSCCTTCGTTTGAAGGCCCCGTCCCTCGGGTGTTGCTTTGTTTTGTGAGTGGCTGATACATGAAAGCAGAGAAAAGGCTCCAGCCCCAAACCTGAGCCCACCCTCTCAGAGCTACACCCTGCACACCAACAGCCACAAAGTGCTTCAGAGGCTTGATAAAAGCTGATAAAATGCCAAAAATTCCTCATTGTCTCTCTTGGGGAGCGGGGAGGGTTGTCTGGAAAGTGTCAACAGTAAAAATTGCATTTAAGTGGTACATAATGCAGCAGCTACTGTGGGCAGGGGGACGTGCAGCACATGAGGGGGGTTGGAGAGCAAAAGCTCCATGCTCTGCTTCCCATCCGAGCTGGAGCACCTGGAGCTGCTGCTCGGAGCTCTCCTGGCCATGGGARTCACGGAGCAGGAAGAGCTCCTGGACATAAAA